TAAGGTGTCCTGAAAGTGTGCATTTATGTAGTGTGTGTGTGTGTGTGTGTGGTGTGTGTTTGTGTGCGTTCCAGTAGAGATATGAGTGCTAAATTACAGTTTACTCTTGCATTCCCCGAGCATGAAGTTTCAGTCAGGCAGACAGAGGGACAGCCTCAGGGTAAATGAGAGCGGGAGAGAGTTTATGGCCCTGTGTGCGCGCACACACACACACACACACACACACACACACACACACACACACACACACACACACACTAGTTTGTATTCCTGCATTAATGTTTTGTTCCACTGGCTGTATTATTGTAACTAAATGCTGCTAGGCCTACACCTCACCCAGGCCTAACCTTGAAGGGGAATTCCACCCAATTTTCTGAAGTTCCTCCTATGTAAATTGTGAAATGCTGTTTTAGAGAAGCTTACAGGTTCAAAGTTCTTTACAGTGGTGGTGATAGGAACCAGACATCTGAGGCCTTTAATGCCTCTAAAAGCATCTGAATACTCTGCACATGGAGGTTCACTTGTGGTTCTGGATAGTAAATAAGACATTGTGACCCCTGGTGGGTTTCCCCTTTAACATCAGCAATTAAATATACATATATATATATATATATATATATATATATATATTATATATATAATATATATATATATATATATATTTCAGCTTGTTTACCTTTTTCACCTTTTTTTTACCTTTTCAAGTAAAAGAAAAAAATTAAAATGTAACCATTACTTTCATAACCAAAGAAAATCTTGCTGTCCTTTTACTTTCTCAAATAAAAGCAGTACTTTTGGTTAAAAGAATGAATGAATAAATGAATAGAGACAATAACAGTGATAATAATGATTATAATAATAAACGTTCATACTTGAAAGAAATTCTTTCAGCTCTTTTACTGCTGTATTTTATGTAAAAAATAAATGTAAAAATAAATAAATGACTAAATAAATAAATATAACCATGACTACTAATATAATAATAATAATAATAATAATATAATAATAATAATAATATAACACACTTGCTCCTGTTGCACTGTCAATATTACAATGGTCAAATTTTGTATCATAATGTGGATCACAAAGAGCTAAAGACTCTCTCTCTCTCTCTCTCTCTCTCTCTCTCTCTCTCTCTCTCTCTCTCTCTCTCTCTCTCTCTCTCTCTCTCTCTCTCTCTACCACCCCCCACCCCCCTTCTCTGGCTCTCTCTCATAATAAAACCTCATTCATGTGTTCCTGTTTATGGGAGAACAGTTCAGAACCCTTATTCTGCCACAGTGATCTGTGTGAAATCTTCATTTCTGTAGCTTTAGTTTTGCTTTTAAAACGTCTCGGCAGCCAAGCCACGGAATGAAAATGACCTCAAAATACATTTGTGACCATCTTTTCTGAAACTGCCACGCTTAATTTCCACGACTCGCAGCGTTCTGGTGAGGAGGAGAAGATGAAGATGTCCTACCTAAATGGATTCTGCAGACATACAGTAATCCATCTAGAGCTGAATAGTGTAGCTTTTCATTCTATACCAATCATTAGCATGAAGGATAGAGACAATGGCCTTAATTGAGGGAGAGAAAAAGAGAATTGAGGGAGGGAGAAAAGGAAAGATGCAACCTTTTCTTAATGCACAGCCTCCCCCAACCTCCTCTGCCAATTTTCTCTCTTCTCTCCCTCCTAAGTGGCCTTCTAGTTTTTATCTAATCAAAATATATTCACTCCATCTCCTCACTTCTCTCTCTCTCTCCCTCTCTCTCTCTCTCTCTCTCTCTTTCTCTCTCTCTCTCTTTGATCTAAAAGACTGATTGGCAATTTTTCCAGCTAACTGATATAGAACACCGACGCCGGCTGCCAATCTCGCGGCCCTGCTGTTGCCATGCCAACAGTCACGGGGTAAAAAGGGGTGAAGAAGGGGGTTTGGTTTAATACACATCCTGATTTGGTAGTCTGATGCCACATGTTATTATTTTCCATTATTCGCCAGCCTTTTGTCACACAGTGCACATAGCCATTACTTCTAATACCTGTCTGTTTATAGTTTCCGGCAGCGCTAGTCTTATAATGTATTGTGTTTATGTTTTTCTTCCTGCTATTGTTTCTTTTTATTGTTATTGTTAAGAGGGAGATGATAATATGCTTCCTTTCAGCCGCTGCAGAGATCCAGAGGGTTTCCCCTCTTGTATAGTTCAATTTGAAGCTGCGTATTTCATAAACAGGCAAGCGAAACATTGGTGTGGCAATAATTTGATTCACAATGTTGTATATAGCCCTGAACTGTTCTAGTGCACAGTATTGTTTGGTGGGGTGGGGGTGGGTGGTTGAATCCTGAACATGGTCCAAACCGAAATAACATACTCAGTAGTGGTTCTTTATTTTAGTCTATGGTCTAAAGTCTTGGTGTAGTCCCTCCATTATATTCACCCACAACGGAATATACATTTACATTCCAGCACTCCAATTACATCTGATAACATGTAAACACTTGTCACCGGAAACTGGGTGTAAGTCAACAATTGTTTATTACATTTTTATATACAAACAACCCTGCAAGGCACACTTTTGTTTAAATAAGAATATACAATACAATTGTCTTTAAGAGCAAACATATTTTAGTTTGAAGTATATATTAATTTGTAGTATGCTTTCAAAAAGGCCACATGATAGATGTTCTCTGCTTACAGTATCCCACTGACCAGACAACTGTGAAACAGCTGCTTCTGTTTTCCTGTCAAACGTAAAAGTCGCAAAATAACACAAGTCCACTCTGCCAATAAAGGAAAACGTCCTGACCCCAAGTGTACGTGACTGCTGAGGACAAAATAAGTTTGTTACAGAGCTCTGGCCCTGACTGTCAGGATGCTAACATACTAACCTTTATGGGAGTCGGCAATCAAACAGAGCGTCAAACCGTTTGAAGGCATCCTTAAATTCAGCTGATTCAATGTTGCATCAAAATATACTGTCATTCTGTACCTCTAAGACCTGAAATAAACAAATGTTACAAAGAAAATTCTGAAAAAAGAAAAAATCAACAACAAAACACATCCCTGGCTATAGATACGTGACATCAGAGATTTACTACACTAGAGGACAAAAGTGTGGAAGCAAGCAGTTAAAAATATTTTACAGTAAAATTATCAAATGTAGAACTAGAAGGGGATGTTAAGGTTTTGCTAGGGCAATGCTATGGTATCCCAGGTAGTTGCTACCATGTATATAAACATATATGACCCAAAATTATTTTTTTTGCTTCTCCTGTAAAGTTGTTATTTTGGAGGTATGAGGTTTTGTTCCAACAGCAGCTATATATATATATATATATATATGTATATATATATATATACATAAAAAAAGAAAAAAAAGTGTCTGATCGACCGCTGTCCCAAAAGCACAGGCGCATTAGTCCTGTAAAGCCTCTACAATCCTGCAAAGTTTCATCGTTCAACTTAACTACCAACATAACACATTTATTGGCATCTAGTTTAACCCCGTAAGGCCAACACAAAATTTCTGCCATTTAATCTGCTCTACTCTGGCAATTGTGATTTCTCAGTGTTGCTTTTATTCAATATGCAAAGTACATAATCTAACAAAGCTGAAAATGTGGAGATTTTTATTGACTAGTTTGCCTCACATATTTCCATTAATGTCTCTCCAGATGCATGAAAAGGAATATGTGACACATCAGTTGCGTTTTATTGTTACTCTGATGAAACTAAACAATAATAAGCGCTCAGCAATCTGAACTGTGCTCTGAGCTTTTGTGAAAAAAATCACAACAATAAATGAAGTCATGTGTATTTTTTACACAGTGATAGAAAACATAGCACACAGACAGTGGTGATTCTGGACAGACTCCTCTGGCAGCAGATTTAAACGTTTAAAAAGCAAAATTATGTCCAAATTCTCACAGTGGGCAGTGAGACACTTGTTTTGATTTATTGCTAAATGTACTCTAATATGAAATAAAGCTTTCATGATGGAGTTTGTTGATAACAGTCTCTTACATTGACTGTTTTTTAATTAATTAAAAACTCTTAATTTAATTAACGCACCTGATTGAGTTCATCAAGCTTCCAGGAGCATCTGAATGGGGGAATCAGGTGGATCTGATTAGGGCTGTGCAGGATAATCACCAGGAGCTAAACAAATTATGCATGTTTGTGTTTAAACAGTAAAACTTTTGTTAGAGTTGCTTCCAAACGTTTGGCCTGTAGTGCAGATGGTGTCACTTCTTGCCACTAAAGATCAGGTCAGTTAACCCCAGTTGTCAACATCCAACCCTCCCACCCCTGCAATGCTAGAACTTCTTTACCATTACTACCATTATAAGTGTTAAATATCTGTGAAATGTGAATTTAATAATTAATATTTAATGACTGGATTACATAATTAGAGAAAGGTGCCTCACATAAGTTTAGCTGTCACATCCGAAGAAGGTTCTGTTTAGACTCCAGATTGTGAAATCACATTTGCTTAAACCCATCTGGTTCTATGTTTGGACAAGCTGCCAGTACACAATCATTTGAAATGAAATGACCAATATCTGAATGTGGTTTATATCAGAATAGAAAAGGGTTAGATCAGATAGACTATCAGACAAATCAAAACAGAATCAAACTTGATCTCCCACCTAATCGAAGCAGAGAAGAATCTGTAGCAAAACTGCAGCAGAGCTGAAGCAGTGTTAACTGCATAACTCTCTGAATTTTACTCATAAGGAGGCATCCAGGCTGCTCTGCGTACTTCTGAACTAAAATCCCCGACACACCCACATATTATTTCCTCCACATCAACTCAAATTCAAAAGAACTCAGTATTCAAAAGAATACTTGAAAATGCTAAAGTGGCTAACACTGAGTTTCCACTAGTTGGACCCAGGTTGATGTTATGCGAACTGGAACATTCTTATTAGTTTCCACTGGCCTTCGTTGTTAGCTATGCTTCCAGTTTTGGGATGAACTGTACCTTAAACTACTAGCTTTATTTTTTACTTCTCCGTCAGCCAGCTCTCCAGGTCATCTATCCATGCTCCATCCACAAATGCGTTCTTTCCTAGCAGCTGTTGCGAGGTTGGACAAGCTCTATCCCATTCAACCTTTTGAGAAATTGTAGTGCACAACTTAGTAAAATACAGAAATTTAGAGTGCCTTAATAATTACAAATTATATTTATTTTGTGTGTGAAAGGTCACACTGTTAGGATCAATCAGGTGTAGTTTTTTTTATATGTAATCAAAGTAAAATTAGCATTCCTTTTTGGTTCTATGCCAATTTACTGGAGCACATGCACCAGTAAAATGTTATTGTACCCCACTATAACCATAGGGGAAAAAAGTCAATACATAAGCTATTCAGTTTCCCATTTTAACCTTGATTTGTTGGGCTAAACTACACAACACAAATATTATGGCCACACGGATTCACTACAGACACTACATTTCCCACAATGCTCCGTACTTAAGCTGTATGCCAGCTGTTTTCAATATGGAGTTAGCAGTAGGTGGACAGGGACATTCAGTCTTTAACAGCACAGACATACAAGCATTTGCCTGTGTTGATCAGCAAGTCACTTGCAGCCCACTAAAAATGCACATTAGGTATGAGCAACTTATGTAGTCTAACAGAATTTAATGCATCAATTTCAATGTTATCTCACAACAGTTGCCACAAAAAAGTGCATTTGCAGGTGGAGCATGGAAAAATCTTATGATCTCTAAATAATTATGCTGTTTTACACAAATTGATATGATATAAACATGTACTGTGTGTGAAAATCAGTTTCTCCTACAAAGTGAGATCAAATGAGATTCATTTTATGGCTTTAGATTGTTTGTTTGGCCAACAGTGGCAGGATTCCACCGATGGCAGCCTGCGGCAGAACTCTTGTACCGATGCTGTCTGGTCCGCCTTCTGCTTCCATTGTCGTGGCTCCGATTCCTATAACCTGTGACTAAGGCTTCACATAGCTGCGTGTTTGGTGAGTTTAGGACATCAGCGGTCACGCCAGCAGGCCTAGTCGCTTCACCTTGGCCGAGAGGAAGGAGTGGATGATGAAGACGATGGTTTTGGGGCAGGCGTGGAGGTCCAGTTGCTGAAATACAGGAAGAAAGAAGGTAGTGAGTGGAGTTAGAATAAGTTAAAAGGGGATAAAAACAGACTTCAGGGAAAGAATCGAGAGAAAAGCTGTGAAAGATAGAGGAGATAGAGTCCAAAGATAGAGAGGAAATAAGAAAAAAAGCCCCGAGATGGGAGGGAGAGTCATTAAGAAAAAATGTCTGAAAACTAGTGGAAAAGTTGGTCCAAAAGGATGGAGGAAGTCAAAAGAGAATAGCTATGAGAACATAGACCTGTGATCAGAGATGAAAGAGAGAGGGAGAGTGAGAGAGACAGAGAGAGATAGAGTACGAACTGAGTGGGAATAAAAGAGCATAGGAAAGCGAATTGCAGCAGAAAAGTTTAAAAAGGGGGTAAAGAGGCTTGCATGCAGGAGACGACTTAAGACTGAAGAGAAGAAAAAAGAGGAGGGAGGAAAGAGGCTCTCTCACGATCTCAGCCTCCGGGCCTCCAAAGTCGAGGAAGATCATGCGCACGCCGTCGTCGGAGGACATGCGCAGGCGCTCGAATGGCTGCTGCAGGAGGATGTGCCTGCGGACCCCCGCCTCCTCCGTGAACAACGAGAAGCCGTTGTCTATGTGCACACTCAGCATGCACTGCTGACCGTTCCAACTGCACGCTGCAGGAAAAAGAGAAACAGAGGGAGGGAGATATTATAAATATTATAAAGCAAATATTTAAAGGAATAGATCAGTTAAAAATAATTTTCCAAATGACCTCAAATGCAGCATTCAGCCAAGACATATTAGGTGTCTGCTGTTTTGCCACTTTAGTTTGGCTTCTTTAGGTAACAAGTAATCTAAGCTTATCCCCCAATAATAAGCATTGTGCAGACTGCACGCCTGAGCTTGCCTACATGCCTCAAGTTGTCAAGTAATCTCAAATAGACCTGCTTAAGTGATCCATGACATACTGTTATCTACAAACATGCCAAAGTACAGAAACAGCCATTATAAAGCCTGAATTTTCTCTGCATCTTTCTCCAATATTGTAAGGGGAAAGTTGTGTAAATCTGACTTTCTGCTGGACTTTTCCTTTGGCTGTATTCTTTCTTTATTTTTGTTGACAAATTTAAATCTGCATTTTCAATCAATTTTTGACCATTTCAAGTTTAAACCATTTGTTAAATAAGGACATGGCACGGTAACAATATTATGTGTTGTTTGTCAGATAAGACTTTCTACATGTATTTTTGTGACTTAAATGAAGATAAAATAAACAATGAAGGAAAGTTTAGCGTAGAAATCCTTATAATTTGAAATTGTTCAGAAACATTTTGAACAGCTGGTCAAATAACATGTTTTGTTGATTTTCTAAGTGAAAATAAGTTGACACCCTACAGGAAACAAACCAAATTAAGGTATTTTTCTGCTAATTTTAGTGCACAATTTATATTTATTACCAGGGAACAAAACCTTGTATCTCCATTTTTGTTGTTTTTCAGTTTTTGACATAATTTGAAAACTCCTGTGGCTCTTTACATTATGTGTAAATTTCATGCTAAATGGACCAAAATAAGTGGCCCAAAATGACCTTGAAAAAAGTCTGGTTCCATTGACTAAATATAATCCTTTTCCTGTAATGTTACACAAACATATATATGTATATGTATATATGTATATGTATATATATACATATGCATTTCTCACTGGCAAGTCCTGCCAACAGTTAAAACATAATATTCATCATATTACAGTATTATGATACTGTAACCTTCATTTTTTGGTGTGTTTGAATGAAATGAAATGAAATGTTTCTTCACCATTCTACAGTCTCTCTGGGTCGGGGTTATACACTTTCACAACAGGGTTAAGGGGTTATGAGGAATTGATTCTGATTTTGATTCAATCGGAAACACATGGTTTGGAGGAGTGAGCAAGTCTCAAAAACTGGCCTTAGTCCAGCAAAGTTTAGTGCTTTCTCAGCTCAAACTCAGCTGCTTAACCTGGTTTCTTACTGCTCAGTTCAGTCAGGTGTCTCTGAGCAGGACTGTCCCTCCAGAACCAGAGTTTGACCCTCTGCTTCACGCTTTGACTCTTGATGTTGGTGTTGTCACCAATGTGTTTCCTGGTTTGTGTGCACTGACTGGTCTGATTGAGCTACACAGCCAGTAGAGGGCAGTCTTTCTCTGAGCTTTTAAGTGGTATTTTGTCATGAACCCATGCTTTATTGTGGTATTATTGTATTAGACTGTTAACTGACTTTGTCTCATGCATTTCATCTTCATATTAACTAAACAGTACATACTGGGCAGTCTGCTACACATTTTTCAATGTGCAACTGAGTGACCAATGAAAGCAAGAATTCATAGTCAGTACAGAATGGTGCAACACACAAGATGATCAGTAGAGGGCACCATCATCCTTCATCTCTAATCCAGCTCCACACTTCTGCAGCACAGCCACAATATCAGCTTAGATCTTTTATAATAGCTCAGTGAAGTGCTTTATGCTTATTAATACCAAAGCCACATTTTATGGCATTTTATATCCTTTGCTATCTGAAATTCTACTTGCGTGCCTTATTTGAGCCTATTTTCATCCAGCGCCTGGTGTTGTGTGGGACGGTACTGATAAAATGTGCCTTTTTTACACTGAAATAAAATCAGTATTGCAATTTCTGGCATAATAAGGAGGATTAGGATCCGTTTCAATACTATTTTTAACATGCCCCTGCCAACTTTGACTCTTTTGACAACTTTGAAGTGCATCACACCTGCTTTAGAAAAGTGGACATTCCAGGGGAGGAGGGGACAGTCAGGCCAGAGATGACCTCTCAGAGATGACTCTGTTCTGGTGTTTTTTCATGTGCTTTTTCTGCTTTGTTGTTTAATAAAGAGCATTTCCTCATAGCAGAAATATGGCTTCATCTGGCCCTTTTTCTGCACAATGCAATAATACTAAGTACACTATATTGCCAAAAGTATTCGCTCGTCTGCCTTCACATGCGTATGAACTTGAGTGACATCCCATTCTTAATCCATAGGGTTTAATATGATGTCGGCCCACCCTTTGCAGCTATAACAGCTTCAACTCTTCTGGGAAGGCTTTCCACAAGGTTTAGGAGTGTTTATGGGAATTTTGGACCATTCCTCCAGAAGCGCATTTGTGAGGTCAGACACTGATGGTGGACGAGATGGCCTGGCTCGCAGTCTCTGCTCTAATTCATCCCAAAGGTGTTCTATCGGGTTGAGGTCAGGACTCTGTGCAGGCCAGTCAAGTTCTTCCACACCAAACTCGCTCATCCATGTCTTTATGGACCTTGCTTTGTGCACTGGTGCGCAGTCATGTTGGAACAGTAAGGGGCCGTCCCCAAACTGTTCCCACAAAGTTGGGAGAATGAAATTGTCCAAAATCTCTTGTTCTGCTGAAGCATTGAGAGTTCCTTTCACTGGAAGTAAGGGGCCGAGTCCAACTCCTGAAAAACAACCCCTCCACCAAACTTTACACTTGGCACAATGCAGTCAGACAAGTACTGTTCTCCTACCATTCTCTTAACCGCCAAACCCAGACTTGTCCATCAGATTGCCAGACGGAGAAGCGTGATTCGTCACTCCAGAGAACATGTCTCCACTGCTCTAGAGTCCAGTGGCGGCGCTTTACACCACTGCATTCGACGCTTTGCATTGCGATTGGTGATGTAAGGCTTGGATGCAGATGCTCGGCCATGGAAACCCATTCCATGAAGCTCTCTATGCTGTTCTTGAGCTAATCTGAAGGCCACATGAAGTTTGGAGGTCTGTAGCAATTGACTCTGCAGAAAATTGACCTCTGCGCACTGTGCGCCTCAGCATCCGCTGACCCTGCTCTGTCATTTTACGTGGCCGACCACTTCGTGTCTGAGTTGCTGTCGTTCTCAATCGCTTCCACTTTGTTATAATACCACTGACAGTTGACTGTGGAATATTTAGTAGCAAGGAAATTTCACGACTGGACTTGTTGCACAGGTGGCATCCTATCACAGTGCCACACTGGAATTCACTGAGCTCCTGAGAGTGACCCATTCTTTCATTAATGTTTGTAGAAGCAGTCTGCATGCCTAGGTGCTTGGTTTTATACACCTGTGGCCATGGAAGTGATTAGAACACCTGAATTCAATGATTTGCATGGGTGAGTGAATACCTTTGGCAATATAGTGTATCAAGCTAGCATAATACAGAGTAATAAAGTTGTATCAGCAGTCATGTTTAACATATGGGCAAGTTAGAACATAGCTAATCAAATACCATAGCTTTTTTAAATATCAAGTATTTAAGTACTTTATTGTTATTCTTTATTAACAGCTTGGTGTGCCATTTTTTGGGTGTCTGAAAAGCGAATTGCATTAGATTCTAATGATTTTTGGGCAATTTCTGCTGCAGATATCAATACTTGTGTTCACTCTGTCCCTCACTCCTTCATAACAAAGTTCTCTTGAACTGATAAAGTAATGCAACTGCCCTTAAATGGGGGAAATAGTGAGATCGAGTTCACAAGAACTTGTCAAAATGGGTACTGAAACGGGTGGAGGATCGTAGTGTAATGCACATATGAGGAACTGTGAGAGAAAGGGAAGTACCTGTGGTGACTTCTTGTATAAGTTCGGCAGCGTTGTGGCAGCCCTCCACCAGCAGGTGGCTCCAAGTGGACAGGTCTTTGGCAGTGTCCACACGGAACAGGTGGGTTTCCACACCTTGTTTAGTGCCCAGACGGAGACCGAAGGTTAACTCAGAATCCTGCACAGATGAACTCTTCCCAGGCCCTGAGTGAACGAGTCTGAAGAGGGAGATGGACATTAATAGGTATCTGAATGGATTTTGTTTATGCATGTGATTACACATGGATTGCAACCGTGTGGGACACAGTGTGTGGGATCTGTCTTTTTAGCAGAGGTTTGCAGTAACTAGTCATTCTGGAATATTTTGATGTACATTTGAAGTTCCTATTGTTCCGTTCATCATGAAATTTTACAGTGTAAAGAGCAGCCGGCATTTTAAACGAGTGTGAATCAGTTATAAATGGTGTATATTGGGAAGTATGTCTACTCTACATTTAGTGTCTACATTCCCACATTTAGTTAGGATTTCATTCTGTTTTTCATTCTGTTCAGCTCCTAGACTGCTTTTTGATGCTCACATCTTTCTTTTTAAAGTTCTAATGTTTTAATTTAGACCCAAAGGATCCTAAAAGAGACAGGAATGTCACCTTCGGTTCCTAAGCTGATAGAGCGCAGGAACTGAAAATTTCATGATGAATGGACCAATATAGAAGCTTCAAAGCTGCTTGGAATAAAATCTCTTTACATTAACTTACATTAGAAATAAAGAATGTTTTTGCCTTCTCCTGCCATTTTGGAGATACTTGTTTTTCTTTGGCCAGCAATGATTTCCCTAAATCAGACTGGTATTAATTTTGATTTGATTGATCGGTACTTTAAGTGTGCACTGTGTGGCTTTATTATCTACAAAAATACAAACATGGCATTGGATTCACTATAAACAAATACAGGTGATGCAGGTGAGCAGGAGATTACACTACTCTGTATGTGTGTGCGTACCTGGTGGTAATGAGTGGATGGCTCTTGTCTGGGCTGTTAAGGCTCTCTCTGCTCTCCGGTAAAGAGCTATACAGCATCAGATCTCTGTCTGTCAACACGGCCAGTACTGGCCTCTCTGATCCCTAGTGACAGAACAGGCACAAAAACACTGGTTATAACTGCATCATTCACTTGTATACACAAACGTCATTCACTTGTGCACACAAACCTACCTGCTTACCTGTACCTACACTGTAAGAAATGTTGTTGTGCTCATATTGTATTACAAAATTACAATATTTTACTGCATATGTGCTTTAAAGTGCTCCCAAGGCTATATGAGCTCCCTCAGTTTTGCTACATCATTGTACAACTTGGAGCAGTATAGGCATACACCACTAATCTATGTAGCTCGCATCTGGTAGCAAATTCTTGAACATTAATGCACACTGTTACACAGTTAAGAGAATGATCACTCCATTTTTCACAACAGTGTAGTACTGCTTATCACTCACACTGAACTGAACAACACATTACAGCACTGACAGGCTCCAGTTGCATAGCAATGACAACAATCCTGGATGAACAAGCGAACTGGAAAACAGAACATCATGGTAAGAATACCAAAACATGTAAATTGCATACATGCTGGGTTGGGAATAACAAGTTAAAAATGATTAGATAAATTTAAAAAAAATCAAATTAACAAAGACTAAAAAAACTACAAGGAATGCTGGGAAGCTCAACCCCCATCATTGCAACATTAAGAAACAGTTTGCTCAAGACTGCACAAAGTACCCACTGTAATTACTGTCAAATCCAACATTTTAACTCCTTTGTCAAAGAAACTTGACCTGGTTCTCCCAGAATGCAACATTTTCACAGTAATCTGTTGTATTTAAATTAGGACAACCACAGGATCACCACTGACCAGATGTTACTTGGACAGTGGACTGTGGTCTTAACAGTGACGTGATAGTTGCATGTTAGAGGGTGTTGTGTTGCTGTGTTTTTGCTGGAGTTTTTAAACACCTTAATATCAATGCTGGGATGAGAACAGCTTGAATGAAAAATATCCAGCCAACACTGACCACTGATGAGGATGACAAGGAAGAAATGAAATTTCTTTCATGCGCATGAAAGAAATATGCAATATGCTCTAACACAATTTAGGTGTCCCCAAAAAAAAGTGGCCAGTAAATATTTGACAAAGCATCATAATCAGACACCATCCCTCCTCAAACACACACACACATACACACCTGCTCTATGATCCAGCCGACGTGTCTGATGTCCAGGCCTGGCTGCAAGGCTCTGAGGTCATCTTTAACTGTGGACAGCAGTGCAGCGCTGGCCGTTTGGATGGCATTATACCATGACTGGGCCATAGCTGGGTCCTTCGCCCTCAGAAACACTGACTTCTTCCTGTCCGCTGACACCACCTCAAAATACCTACAGACACAGAGAAAGCATGAAGATGCGTTAGGCCTGTGTTTTGCAAGGTTCCCACAATTTCTTAAGAAACCATTTTCAACAAATTTTCATTGCTTTGCCTTGTGGACACAACAGCTGTTTCACCTTAAAATGAACAACGACTGCTGACATCCTTCACATTAAAGTCTGTAATGCAAACCCTCAACCCCCTCACTGACTAAGCGACTGACACTCACACAAACCAGCCATCATTTGATCAAAAGTACAACTAAAACAATAAAAGTACATCAGATGCTGCAAGAAGCTGGCGTATGTTAATGTAGCCTTACTCTACCAGGCATTCTGACACAGCGTCCATGTATTTCTCCACATGTGGTACTGTAGCATTCCAAACAACAGCTGAAATGAATGGACACTCAAACCAGGCTTTAGCAGCCAAAATATGTTAAAATATGCTGCAAAGAATATGCCAAAATATGCAATTCTCTAGGTGTTTTCCATTACTAGAGAATGAGTCTACATTATTCCAGGTTTTCCAGGTTTTCTAGGATGCGTGAGGACCCTGTTTTGACATCATAGTAAAAATGATTTCTGCAGCATATCCAAAATCCCTGGAATTCTGTGCCAGAGAATATTAAACCTGACAAATCCAGATTAAAACTAGCATCAGGCTAGCATCTGTCTGGTGTATTGAGTCTATTTATATTAGGCCTCTTTTGTTCCTCTATAACTTGTAACTGCTAACACTTCTTCATATGATTTTCACTTTGAGCTTTCATGTTTTTTTTTTTACTTCCCTGTGTACAGAGCTTTGAGATTATGAAACTAAAAAATAAAGTGCAGCATAACTAAGATGAAAAGTGCTATATAAATAAATAAAGTTATTATTACCCGACTGTGCTGTTCTGTGTAGGAATCAAAAGACAGCCTTGAAAACTAAGACTGGATGTCCTTTTGTTCTGCATACGCTTCAAAATCTCAAAGTGTCAGCTACAGTTGGCTGCCACTGGCAATTTGGGATATAAATGCCAGCTTATTGTCCTCATCATTGGCGGCCTTGGGTATCTTTACAGACTTCCAGTGCTGGTATATTGCAGGTGTTTGTAAGGCAAAAGCTAAACAGCTTGCAAACTGTCCTGTTCCCTTTTGGCCATCACAGGGAGATAAATGTGGAGGAGACATCTGTATGAGGTTGTCTGGATAAGACAATATTTGAAGAGTTTAATCCCAAAATACTCTACATCCATAAACACATTCTTATTTCTCTAATAAAGGTTGTCTTGCCTATTCCCAACTACATATATAATTAAAAAGAAAATGTCTTTACTCATTAAATGGAACAATGAAATGTACTAATGAACTATATTAGTATGCTAGTGCTGTGTTTTTAGATATAAGTGGATCCATTTGATTACACTAACCCATCCTTGCTCCACGCATGAATGTGTTCTTTCATAGCAACTGTTGCTAGGTTGGACAAGCTCTGCAGAATGCTGACAGTAATACCATTCAGCCTAATGAGAAATTGTAGTGCACAGGTTTTCAGAGTATTTTAGACTTAGAGTGCGTTATTCATATTAAAACAAATTGTGCCAGGTCACACAGTTAGGTTAGACTTTTTTCTGTCATGTAACTTGTTTTTAGAGATAAATGAGGCAAGGTATCATCATAATCTGTAACAATCTGTATACCACCGCAACAAAACCTTGTATCTCCTAAATCTTAGCTTTACAGCAACAGGAGCAGTTCTACATTCATCATGAAATTTTAACACATTGTAAATTTCAGCAGACACTTTTTACTGTAAATAAATAAATAAAAAAAAACCCAATAAAAATATAGATATCAGTTTTGTTCCAAAAGCAGCAATAGATCAATAGATCTCAATAAAGTCAAGCTACTCAGTGGCAGTGATGAAGAGAGGCAAACAAAACAAAACTCCCAATAAAGCATTTATAAGCTGTAGAAAGTCTCTACAAAGGTAGCGGATGATACAATCATGAATGCACAGGCTTGCAGGATTATATGACAAAAAAACAACCCCTGAATGAACCTTACCATGTGCCGTTTCGCAAAAATTAAATTTGCACTATAGATTTCCATTTTTTGATGAGCTACACTTTGTCATGTTAAGTGCAATTTTTGTCAATCTTCTATAAAGCTTATTGAACCTAGCTACAGTAGCAACAGAAGTGGGCGGGGCATGAATTGGTCACTTGTGTTTTATATGGAATGAAATAAAGTATTTCAAATGTGTGAGTTTACCTGTCCTCTGTGTCTGGGGGGCACTGTTTGCGGGTGACGTGGCACATTTTGAGCGGGATGGTTCTGGTCTCCGTGAGCGCTGGATCAGGCTGCTTCTGTGGAGTGGACGGTGGAGAGTCCATCACGGGAGGAACACCTGGAGACGCGCTTTTAAAAAACGCAGACATCTCCTTTATGTACTTCACTGAAGAATGAGAGGGTAGAAGAGATAGAGAGAGAGACTGGCATCACCACTAAGGCTCATGTTTCAAAACATCCATTATGCATAAAATATACATCCATTAGTTGCATTATTATTGGCCCTTAATCCATGCAACAGTGGTAAACGATGATCAAAAACAGTGTACTTCTGCACACAACCCCTCTTTTTTGTGTCTGATACTGATAGCAATTTTCAGGGACTAAACATTCTAATAACTGATAATACAGAGTGATTTAATTACAGATTTATATTTTATATTTTAATTCTATATTCCAGTAGTTTTAGTTACACAGTGCTTTACTGACAGGTACAGTCATATGTGAGAGTTTCAACATCCCTTATCAGATTACATGTTGTTTATTTTCTAAGTGAAAACAAGTTAACGCATGTTCTACAGTGAAGTAACTGAATATGGCATTTTCTGCACATTTTACTGCACAATTTCTTTTGATTTGCCAAGGTTAACACATTGGAATGTGCTATAACATTTGCACAGGCCACATTTTATGTTTTTCTTTCTAATATTTTAAAATTAGTAAATAAACAGAGATTGTGCATTAAAACGTGCAGTGAAGTGCAGTCCACGTGAAGCGTGTTCTCTGTAGAGAATGTGTTAACCTACTTTCACTCAGAAAATCAACAAAACAAGTCATTTGTCCAGGGGTGCCCAAAACTTGTGCATAGAACTGTATTACAGTCAGTTCTAAATTATCACACTACTTTACCTCACATAAAAAACAAAAACTTGTAAATAATATAAATACTGTAGAATTGGGGGTGGAGCCAGCCATCAGTCTTTGTGGTTTTAGTTTCTGTTTATTACCTTTTTTTTTTTCATTAGTTCTCTTCATAATGCGATTTTTTGTTATTCTCATATATATATATATATATATATATCTCATATATATATCACATTTTTGCTTCTCTATTATGATGTGTATTTCTATCATGATTGTGTTTAACATGAATTGCTATCATATAGTTAAATACAGAGTTTCTCATATTGGGCTACTCATATTGTACAACAGCATATTTAAAGAGTACTGAGCATTCCACCTTAAATAAACAGTTAATACTGCTAGAATCATCGATAATCATCACAGCAATGTGTCTATGGCTGCATGCTGCCATCAGCTGTGTACTGCTATAAGACATGGGCTCCAGCATGTAAACACAGCTCTACACTGCAAAAAATGGCTCGTCAGATAAAAAAAATGACTTCATGTGGTAAATTAACTAAATTAAACCAGTTTTATTCAACACAAAATACTTTGAATGATTCTTTCAATCAGTGTACTTTTTGGAGTTTAATAAAACCACTTCAGTTGATTGTTACTACATGTAGTCATCTTTAGGTTGATCTGACGAGCCTTTTTTCACAGTGTATCATGGGGAAATAGTGAGTTCAAATCCCAGCAATGCTGCAGATCATCTGCAATATTTTCACTGACTGATAAAACTGCTTCGTCAATATCGACCAATATAACCAACCGATACATCAGTTGGGCCCTAACACACACAAAGCTTTGTCACAATTGCAAAAAAAAATCTCTCTGAAATAGTAACTTCACAGGAGCAGGAAAAACATTCCTAACTTTTAATGTAGTTAATGTTCCACGAAATTCTGCATCATTTCTATTGGTCCACTAATCATGGAATGCTCACATGGTGTAAAGTTTAATTGACATGTAAAATGGGGGAAAAAAGGGGGTCCAGGTTTTAATATGACAGCTGTGGGCTGCACACATACAGTATACGTCAATGACATAAGCTCAGATGAACTCTAGTGGGCCGGTGCACCCCACCTGCCTCAGCCCAACCACTACTGTTCACTGTGGTGAAATAAATAGAAGCTGCTATGATTCTCTCAGGACCTACAACTTATCTCCCTCTCTGTTGCTCACACACACAGAGGGGCTATAAATAGCAGACGCCACTGAGGGGCACAGATAGGGTTTCAGTGCAGGAGTTGAAGAGTGAGGTGTCAGGAGGAGTGGTGGTGGAGGGGGTGGGGGGCTTCCTCAGCCCAGAATAGAGTGTAGCCCATAGCTCGGCCATTCCCACACATATACCTCACTCAGTCAGCATGCACGGCAAGCAGCAGCACAGTCTCTCTCACTCTCTCTCTCTCACAGATTTTCACCTGTTGGCCACACACGAATGCTCCCACACACACAAAGGGTGTTAGCAAATCTGTCTATGTGGTCTCACACACTGTCTGACAGTTTCTAACATCCATGGCTGCCAGCTTACATTTGCCTGTGCGATACTTTCTCACTCGGTCCAAACATACACACATACAGTACTGTGCAAATGTCTTAGGCAGCCATGAACATGAAAACAAATGTAAATAAACAGAAATACGGTAAAATGTAACACAAATTTCTGCATAAAAAAAATTCATTGATCAGAAGAACATCATAGGTATTAACCTCTAGATACATTAAACCTCATATTTACAGCCTCAAAACTGTATAAATGTGCTGTTACACGTTTAGAAAATTTCTAATATTTCTAAAATCATTCGCAACAACACATACAGTTGTATGTAGAAGTTTAAACACCCCAGGTAAATTACACGTTTTATTGATTTTCTAAGTGAAAATAAGAGAACACTTCCTCTACAGGAAACTAGGCAACTTTAACGTCACGTTTCTACACATTTTAGTGCCCAATTTCTATTTATTTGCTTTAGTTTAGTGAGTTAAACATAAAATATAAATGTGTCATAACTATTGCACAGGCCATTTTCCTCAGTATTTTACTTCAGCAAATAAAAATAAGATGTGCAGAAGTGTGTTCTCTGTAGAGGATGTGTTACTTATTTTTCACTTAGAAAATCAACAAGATAAGTAATTTGACCAGAGAAGGCCAAACTTTTGCATACAACTGTATTCATCTGGTAATTATGCTAATTACTTCATACAGTATCAGAATTGTATGTCTTCTTTTTGACAGTTAAACAGCTGAACACATTCTTACAGTTAAATACAAAAGCAAACAGAGAGACAGCAAAGTCAGTCTGTGTTCTGCAATGAGCTGACAGAACAAAAAGTCTTTGATGATGCAACTTCATCTGCAAAGTGAAATCTTGGGGCAAATATATGTTTGCAAATCATTAAGTAAGTTAAACTCCAGACACTTTTTTCTATAAACTAGGAGTGACAAACGTATAGCCTGAAGGCTTTATGGCTCTCATCTGGACGTCCAAATGAATTTAGAATCCACATGTTATTCTACACTCATGTTGTGGATCATAATTGGCTTTCTGCAAAATAATTATTGACACAACTCCCAAGCAATCACTCCTTAGCAACCATCTCTAAGCACTACTAAATCAACCGTCACTGAGCAGTACTTTTCTCAATTAAGTAAAGTAAATTAAAACTCCAGTGAAACTCGTCAGAACAAACCTGGAGTGAGAATAGTGATGACGGTAAACTTTCTGTCCTGATCACCTGGAGGAGGGTGCTGCTTTTATTTCATTCCTGAAGCTTAAAAAGGTTTGGATTAAACTCTGTGGAAGACCACACTCACAGCTAATGTCAAAACTATTAACAAGCAGCTCCTGGCTATGTCAAACTTAATCTAGGCTACTGCTAACATCAAATCTAATATGACGATATGATGTAATCAACTTTACGGATTCATGTTAATATCAGTTAGCTAGCTAAGTTAGCTTTCTGCATCTTAACTGCTGGCATTGCTGACAATGTTAGATTAGCAGGTATAGGATGGTAACTGTAAATACTGCATTTCCTTCAGGAGAGCTTTGACCATGGTTAAGCTAACACACATCAAATCACAATTTCGTGTTTGTTTGTTTACTTGCATTTATTCTAATGTGAGCATTTTCTCAAACAAATAAATGTCTATTAACCAGACAAATAGCTTGACATTTAATTTCCTCAGAAAGCTTAATGCCCAATAATACATCACAAATGAGTGCTGGGTGATCCTGATAACATTCATTTTTTCCAAATATGTCACAACAGAGTAACAGATGATATTTAATGTAATGAAGCCACGTTTCCTGTGCTGGTGCTCTAGGCTAAAATATTGGGCCTCATTCACCAATATCTTCACTAATACATTTTTTCTTAATTTGTTCTTGAGGAAGGTCCTAAACACTATAAATGTTGACCAAACAGAAAGAACATTTCTAGAAGGGAAAACCTCTACTATTTATTTTTTTATGGATTTTAAGCCGTTTGAACAATCAGAAACGTGATACATATTTGGCTAACGGTCAGGTCTGGGATGCTGTATGTAAAGTGTACATAATAGAATTAAAAGCTAAAAATAAAGTGCCTGGCCACAGGTGCATTACCATTCTATGGGCATTATGGATATATTGCTTATTATCTATTAAATATGGGCAATTACGGTCAAATTACGTGAAAATAAGTTAACCCCTTACATGGCTAGGGCCTGCCAGTGGCCCAAAGGTTTTATTACCCCATAGTTACTGAATAATAAGCCTCAGTATGTAATAAGCCTGGGATTTTAATGAGTTCAGCCTCTACAGAGAACAAACTTCTGCCCATCTTATCCCCTTAAATGGCCGGGGCCCACCAACAGGTGTAAAGCTTTATTACACACTTCTATAACCCAAGAATAGCTCAACCAGTTTGCAAAGATCATGTAGCTACTGAATTAAAATCCTTAGTATAATAAGCCTGACATTCTAAGGGGTCAATACACAAGTACTGTTTATTTGCTAATTTTAACATTTTGGAGGAAAAAGTAAAACATAAAATGTGGCCTGTACAAATGTTTTGGCACAATTTATACTGTACATTTTATTTTTTTTTCCAATATGTTAAACTCAACAATAAATAGAAATTATGCATTTTTCCCTTTGTTCCTGCATAGTTTCTGCAAGAACTGCTCAGTTTGGTGATTTTCCTGCTCTTAACACACCAACTAAGTTGAATCAGGTGTGTTTGAGCTGGAAAATCACCAGACTATGCGATGCTCTT